ATATATGATTGATCCTTTAAAATGGCATATTAAAAGAATCTTAGAAAGTTTAATTGGTAAGAGAAATGTTGAAAAGAAATCTGTGAAAAATTCCAGTGACAGCAGAATAATTACTAGACTGTGTATAAAATGAAGAGTGGATATCCTAGTGGGAGATAAGTAGGCTTGTGACTCCCATCCTGTTTTTACTGTCTATCAGATTCATTCAGACCACTGTTAACTGTATCTTTGCTTATAGGAAGCCCTTTAAGGGTATTAATTAGGGATGCACCGATAGCGGTTTTTCGGTATCGAGCAAGAGTACAGATATTTTGCTTTTGGCACTCGCTGATACCTAGTACCAACACCGGCGCTTCTGCTGACATGGAGCCGGTTTCCCGGGCAATCAGGAAGCCGGGTGGCATGACATTATTCGACACCAAGCTTCCCGATTGCCCAGGAAGCCGGCTCCATGTTGTTGGGCTGGCTTGATTGCGATTGGCTGGGAAACCGGCTTCCCAGGCCAATCAGGAAACCAGGCGGCGAGTAATGACCCGCCTCCCAGCTTCCTGATTGGCCGAGAAGCTGGCTCCATGCTGATTGACTGGAAAGCCAGCTTCCCACCCAATCAGCATCAAGCTGGCTGTTAAAATGTGAAAAATCACATGATGCCAATGGCTCAGGACATTAGCTGCCTGAAGACGCGCTAGAGTTCCCCTGTAACAACGCCAAGGGCAGTCTGCAGACAATTAAACAAAGCTGCCACCGCGGGATTAGCCCTCCACATTTCGCTTTTATCCAGCTAGGAGCAGACAGAATTCCGGGCTCAGACATCACTGGTCGTCCGCTCTGGGACCCGTCCTCGTTCTGACACGGAGTCGTGTGAGTAATGTGCAGCGACAGCGCCGCTTCTCCAGTAGAAATGGCCCTGAGGCGTCAGGCACAGAGGTGGCACTGGACAGGTTGTTCGGCCGGGAAGCCGGCTTCCCAGCCAATCAGCTTGGAGCCAGCTTCCCGGCCAATTAGGGAGCCAGGAGGCGGGTCATTACTCATCGCCCAGTTTCCTGATTGCCTGGGAAGCAGGCTCCATGTTCCCTGATGGCATTGCCAGCCAGAGGAAATCTTCTGGTATCGGGAAAGGACTCGGTATTGGTGCATCCCTGGTATTAATATTACTAACTACACAAAAACCATCTAATCTAATTCATGTTCACTTTCTATGACAACATTTTTGTGTAAAAGTAAATCAATTAGCAGAGATTTGCTTACAGAGTATTATACTTGTCAACTAAACATTAAAGTCCATTTCTGCTTTGCTTCTTCTTGCTAACTCCAGGACTGAAAAATGCTTAGTTCTTACTGTGTGGGGGGTAGGAGAGTTTTTCAAATACTTAACCTGTCTGTACTGTGCTGGCAATCTTCATTATCACTTGTAAACTAGATTAACAGGACTGTCTTTCTAAAGGGCTAAAAGGTTGGGTGGTGCTTTGAATGGAAAGGGTATTCCCACTTTTGCAGCCAAACTGGGATAACACCAACTTCTTATTTGATATATGTGCCCATTCACATAGCATAACTTAGAAAAAAAATTGCTTCTTCCATATTACTTTCCTAAAAGTCTGTTTGTCCTAAGAAAAGGTTAAAAGAAAAACTGAAAACGTTGTATGCTAAAGAGGAGACACTCAGTTTGCTGTTACTGCAATAGAGAGAGAAGATGGCAAAGGCCTGCTAAATATAGATATCCAAAAGGTAAACAAATATTTAATATATATATTTTTAGATATGCTGTGTGAACAGGAACACAAACATATAGTGGAGGTTTTCTCAATTTTTGACTGCAAAAGTGGAAATACGATTTAAAATTCAAGTTCAGCCACAGATACTTCTCAATCCAATGATAGAAAAACAGATCTATAGAAATGGTAGCTACAACGAAAATATATTAAAGTGGGTATAAAATCCCCTCATGACCGCAGTACCGCACCAACAGATAATTGCTAAAAAATTTACAAAGAGGCAAATGGGACTTTTCAAGGTACCAGACGTTTTCTTCCAAAATTATAAAAACCATGTAAACTTTATTGCATCACATAAAACCAGAATTTATTAAACATGTTTAAAGGGTTATTAAACCCTTAGCTTTTTTTTGCCTATATCTCCTGCTAGCAAGCCGAAACCTTAAAAAAAAAATAAGTTTTACAAAAGGTTAAAACTTACCTGTGTCTTTGCCACACACTCCCGTCTGAAAATCTGAAAAATCTTGGGCGGCCGCAAAGGATCTTGGGACGGGCGCATGCGCAGTTCAGATTTTCGGCCGGGAGATGAGGAGACACACAAGGTAAGTCTATGGACAGCGTGCACCCGCATGCAGACAACGTGGGACAGGAAGTGCCAGCAAGCACAGAGGAATCAGCGCTTGATCAGAGACCCGCAGCAGCGCTGGAGGGACATCTGAAAACGACTGGAAGGAGAAGATTGGATCAAGAGACATAATTTAAGGTAAGTGCTTACTCTAACATTGGGGGAGGGGGAAAAATTATACTTAAATGTCACTTTAATAAATGTGTGTATTATGTGATCAACTAACGTTTTCCACTTTGCAAATTTGCTACCAAATGGTAGCTACAAAACGATATGAAGACTAGAATATCTGTGACAGAATAGACACACTCATGATACGGATGAAGTTCCCAACTGCAGCTACATTTACATCTTCCATCCACTATATTTTTCACTTCCTCTGCACATCAATTTTAATATTCTAATAAATTAACCATAGGTTGTTCTGTTGCTGCCTACTGGCTTATATGGACATGCAGGATATATCACGTAATATCATGGTAAGTGTTACTTACATATAGCAGACTCTTATGTTAGCTAGAATATACTATCTATTGTTAATATTCTTATATATCAGCAGATAATTATATACAAACAGCACATTATTATATCTGGCTTCACAGTCACACATATGATTAGATGCATTTTAAAACCTTTCAGTAAAATTGCATCCTTAGTTTGTCTGTGCCACAAACTACAAATGACAAGTGAAAAATGCAATTCACAAAAAAGCCCAAGACCCAGATTATTAGCTAAAAGAGGAGCCCACTGTTTCCCAAGAATTGAAGCACTCGATAATAAAATACATGCACATTTCAATAAAGAGATTGGTTAGGGTTTTGATCAACCTTGACAAAAGCTGATGTATCTGTCAATCATGAGCTGTAAAGATAATATTTATATTCCTTTGCAGTGATGAATATTTTGAATGAGAGTTCTCTTGTGTGAAGTGCAAATTCTGATAATTACTTGCCTCATGCATCTATTAACACCCAAGGAAGATTAAAATTATGCACTTTTTTTTGCTTGTTGGTCAACTAGGGCTTGAAAAGTTTACTTTTTAACTGATAATGTAACAAAACAAAATGCATAAAACCGTTATTGTATTTTAAAGGGACGTTAACACTCATAGAAAAGTTATACAAATCAATGTTTGTTTGTTTTTTCTAGCATACTAGCAGCTACATATTTGCTTAACTAAAAAAAAACAAAGCCTAGCCCTTTAAAAAGCATACAGATCTTCTTATGACACTTTGTAAAAAAATACTTCAGTTTCAATATACTGTTATGTTTACTCTTTCCCATCCAGACATCTCAGCAGGACTCCAGGAGCAGTCATTCTGCAGTTCCAGTTAAAGTACATATAATACCCAAGTAGCTTTTGCCCTCATGGTCTTCATGCTGCCTACTAGGGCTGCAAGTAACTATTATTTTCATGATCGATTAGTTGGGCCATAATTTTTTCAATGAATTGAGTAATCGGATAGAAAAAAATGGAATGCCACCTTTTTATTTAAAAGTGCAACCGTAATTTTTATTTCTGTCCATATGCACGCATTCACAGGGGGTGGGGGATTTTACATTTTTTTGGGGTGTTTTTAAATTTTATTTGATTTGCCTTTTTTTTCTTGCTAAAGGTATTGCTATCACATGGGGGGAGGGGGGGTTATGTGATAGCACATTGGAGGTGACAGGTTCTCTCTAAAGGTGACATTAGGGGTCTATGAGAACCCTAGGGTCACCTTTCCACTTCAATGGAGCTATTCAAGCACACATGGCTTGAATAGCTTCAGACAGGGAATGTCAACACAGCAGGCAGTGGGTGTATGCAATAGCCAGCCTTTTATTGGCTATTGCAATTTGAAATAGCCAATAGCAGGCTGGCTATTGCACCTGCCAACTGCCTGCTGTCAATCTGCAGAGGAGGTTCTCCTTCAAGTCCTCCTCTGCTGATTGACAGCAGGCAGGTGCAACAGCCAGCCTGCTATTGGCTAATTGAAATTGCAATAGCAGACTGTTTGTTGCACACACCCACTGCAGCAGGATTGAGAGCAGCTGCACAGAGTTGAGCGCACCGTGGCTGCGATTGACAAGTGGCTACACAGAGTTGAGGATGCTGTGGTGACGGGGGGATTGAGAAGAGGCTGCACAGAGTTGAGGACTCGGCGGCGGGGGGGTGACAAGCGGCTGCACAGCGTTGAGGACCTGGCGGCGTGGGGTTGTGGCTAAGCAGAGCTGAGGTGGTGGCAATGAGGGGGGGTGGGTCGGTTGAGCGTTTGTCCGCTGAATCAGGTAATCAGAGTCAACTAATCGATAATGCGAATGGTTCACAACGATTCTCATTATCGATTAGTTGTTGCAGCACTATTGCTCACCCAGTGCCAACACTCTTCTGGTTCCTCTGTTCTGCACCAGTGGAACTGAGGTAGTCAGCCCCAAAGAAGTCTGCAGGGATTTCTAGACAACCTCCAAACATTCACTTTTAGTGCACAGAGCCCACATTTTGGGAAGGGCACCACAGGTGTAAATATAACTTATACAGTGCTGCAGAGCAATGATTCTTAATTTACTTCAAGGGAGAATAAGACTTCCTTTCAAGGCCACAAAAGGTGTCCGTTGAAAATATATGAAGCAGAACTGTATACGTTGACAGGTATTTTAATTCACAGATAAACACTTACCTCTGTAACTACTGGTTGAAGAATTAATGTCTCAGGACTCATTCTAGGAATATCTATCAGAATCTGTAATGGAAAAAAAAAATCTTTTAAACTACCGGTATATTAAAATGTCCAAAGTCTAGGCACATGTTTGTTATACATATTTTGCAATGCAACCAGTTGATATGTTCTTAATCTTATTCTGCCTTGCATATTTTATGAACAATTTATTTAGACAATGTGAAACATTGCTGGTTTTCTCTAATGTCAATGTAATATATTTGCATATTTACAAGTTCTCTGCTGGCTGCTGATTCAGAGAAGAAATATTTGAAGGGCAACTGAAGTTTTGCAATTAAAATAATTAGAATGAAACAAACATTGTTTGTAGCTAAATTTGCAATATATAAGAATATGTAAGTTGCATTGTGCGTGGACTGTACAAATTAAGGCTGGTGACCATATTTAACGACAGTTTGCCAAGGGAGTTGCTTTCATTTAGTATTGTTTGCAATCTTCAAGAATTTTGTAGAGTTTGAAACATTTTTGTATCAATCTGGGCACCATGGACCTAGGCGCCACACACCACTTCTCCCATACATACTGTTGGTCCAACTTCAACTTCTTAGACTAGTTCTATTCTAAACAGAAATGGCAACAGCTCCAATAAAATGTATAACTACCTTTTTAAAGTAAGATGCCCTGATCATTCTACACTGCCTCTTTCTACTGTATGTACGTATGAGGTCTGCTTTAATGTATGTACTTTTGCTGCATCTGGGGTCACCAGTCATTAATAAAGTTTAGTCTTTAGGCTGTTTTGGAACGGTTTATTTATTGTACTTTGTGCATTATTACATAAAACTCGATAAAAAATGTTTATCAAAAAAAAAATCATATGAAAGTGTATCTAAGCCCAAAAGCAAAACTTTAATATATTGCAACTTAACAATTCCTGGGTGTGGTGGTCGTGTTATTTTCCCTTTTTTTTAGGCTTTTTTTCTTTTATTCACTTTTATTTCCACCTGGTGATCCAGCCAGTAAATCTGTTATTTTTCAACTTACTTTAAAGTCCA